AAGTTAAAGCTTTTCCATTAAAAAGAAGAACCAGACAAGATGTCCCATCTCATCACTCCTTTTTTTCAGGGCTGTTTCTAGAAGTCCTAACTAATAAGAAAAAGAAATACGGTGTATAGACTGAGGAGGAAAAAATAAAACTTTGTTTGCAGATGACATGAACAGTTATGCAGAAAATCTAAAAGAACTAAAAAAAACCCTCCTGGAACTACTAAGAAACTATAGCAGAATTTCAGGATACAAAGTTAACATGTAAAAGGCAACTGTTTTCCTAAATACCAGCAAATGAACAGGTGGAATTTGAAATGAAAAACACATTACCAGTTAGTTGTGGTGGTACACACCTGTAATACCAGCACTCAGGAGGCTGAGGCAGCCAGCCTGAACTAAAAACAAAAAATGAAAAATTACATTACCGTTTATAACCGCCCATGAAATATTTAGGTTTAAATCTAACAAAGCATGTGCAAGATTTGTGAGAAAATTACAAAACTCTAATGAAAGATGTCAAAGAAAACTAAACAAATGGGGTGTGCATGGGTATGAAGACAGCATTTCCAAGACACCAGTTCTTCCCAGCTTGATCTGTGGACTCAAGGCAATCTTGGATCCCAGGAAGCTGGGGACCAAGAGAGTCATGTAGAATACTTAACTGTTACCAACTACTGACCTCTGAGAAATCCCCTTCTTTGTCCTGGTTAGAAGGCTTGGGAAGGCCCTAGAAAGGGGCTTTATGATCATGTGTTGATTACGGAGGAGAGGAGGAGATCATGTCATCACTGTGCATCCATGGGCTAAGCAGATCTAGAGTCCACGCCCTTGCATGACCAGAGTTGTTAAGTTTTATTTAAAACAGAATCGTGTCTCTGAAGCACTAATTTCTCTTTCCCACAGCACAGTTATGTTCTGTGTCGAGTCTGGGCAAAGAGTTCTCGAGGCTCCATCTCGAAAAACCCTTCACAAAAATAGGGTTGGTGGAGTATGGGCGGAGTGCCTCAAGGTGAAGGCCCTGTACTGTGGTTCAAGCCCCAGTACCACAAAAAAAAAGAAAAAGAAAAGAAAATCCCAGTAAGTTATTTTGTGCGGATCAACAAACTGAATCTCAAATATCTGTAAAAAGGACAAAAAGCATGGAATAGCCAAAACAATATTGTAAGAGAACAAAATCAGAGAACTAACATTACCCAACTGCAAGAAATTACAACAAAGCTACACTAATCAATACAGTGTGGTACTGGCCAAAGAACAGACAGACAAATCTATAAAACAGAACAGAGAACCCAAAAATAGAACCAATCTTTGACAAAGGAGTAAAGGCAGCAATAATACAACGAAGCAATACAGTCATTTTTAACAACCAGTCTTGGAACAACTGGACATCCACATGCAATAAAATTAATCAAGACACAGATCAGTTACAAAAAGTAACTTAAAATGGGTCACAAAGCTAAATGTAAGACTGTAAAACTCCCAGACAAGTAACATAAAGACAAAATGTAGGTGACCATGGGTATGGTGATGATTTTTTAAGATGCAACACTAAAGGCATGCTCCAGGGCTGGTGGTGTGACTCCGTGGTAGACTGAATGATTAGCAGGCTATGGGCCCTCCAGAGGAAGAGAGGGAGGGCGAGGCGGAGGGTGAGCAAGGGGGAGGGTGGAGAAGGGAAGGAGGGAGGAAGGGAGGAGGGAGAGTAGGTAGGTTGGTAGGCAGGTAGGTAGAAAGAAAAGAAAATAGAAAAGGAAGGAAGCCAGCCATCCAAGGAACCAAATTTTCACAGTAAATAGTAAAAGAATGTAGCTAAAATTCTATCTTAGAAAATAAAACTAAAAAATTATTTGTCTCTGTAACAAAATTTAGCTTATGAATATACTTACACTTAAAATGGACAGCATATCAAGAAGGGAATGCTGGCTTCATTTTTCCCCCAAATTTTGATGCCACAAGACACAATTCACTCCCCATTTGACATTTACTCCTTAATTTTGCAAAGTCTCTTCAAGATCCTGTCTGTCCTTTGATATGTAAGTGGTTGTGTTCTGCGGAATCCATGGATTTTCTTTTCCCTGTCCAGAGTCTCTCTGTAGGGTATAATACTCAACAGATGTTTGGGAAACTTTTTAGTTCTCAAACATTTCCTTCATTATTTCATTTCATAAGTGACTGTGACTGTTTTATCAATAACTACTGAGTTGGACAGTAACAAACCCTTGATCATCTGATAGGGAGAAAGGCTGGTAAAGCACTTGACTAGCAAGTGTGAGGCTCTAGGCGCAAGCCCAATACCGATGCATGGGGGGAGGAGGGGAGCAATGGGGATAGGGAGAAAAGTTCGTGTTAAGTTATCATATCTGGTCACAGACCAATTTTGTAAGTAGTCAGATCATAAATAACAATTTTCGTTTCCTGAAAATTTTTGTTTTCTCTGTACCTCCCATAGCTGGAGGGACTCAGGCTACCAATAGTCTGATAGCTAGCACTCCTGTTTATCACACAGTGAAGAGACCAATTAAGGCAAAAAGATGACAATTTCTACAAACACTTATGCATGCCTACTGTGTGCGAGATACTATTCTAATGCTGGAAATACACAGATGAACAGAAAATGCCCTCTAGGAATTCAGTCTAATGTGAGTAAAATGAATACCCCACATGCACCGTAAGTGCTGTGATGTTAAGGCCTGTATGTATGAAGTAGTGGAGAGAAAATACAGATGGGGGAAACAATTCATTCTGTCTTGCTCTCTGAGTTAGGTCTGGAAGGAAGAATCTTAAAAGGAGACATCAGAGGAAAAGCTGCCAAGAAAAGGATAGGAGCAAAGGAAGGCCTGGTAACTGAAAACATAAAGCTCATTCAGAAAATGCAGGGCCTCCAGTGGAACCAGCTCCAGTCACTGCAGTTTGGGGGAGGGGATGATTTTAAAACAATAACAAAAAAAGAACCCTTCTAAAAAGGTAGGCTGGAGCCCAAGTTCAGACCTTGCATACAAGTTTGGATTTTATTCCCTAGCTACAGGAAGCCACAGGAGTAACTTGATATTTGAGAAATACCTGGCAACAGGATACAGAATGGGCTTGGAAGGGGGGAGGAAAGTGGGGGGGGGGGCGGGAACATGACCCATGAAACAGAGATCCACAATGCCTCCTGTTACAGTGTCTCAGCAAGAAGAACAGGCCGGCTTGCCTTCCCAGGCCTTAGTAACCACAGTGGAGAGGAGGGACTTCTGGGGGAAAGCAGATGCAGAAGTGATCCAGGGGCTTGGGCCAGGCTGTTTATAACTCAAAGAGAGGAAGCAGGGCAGGGAGAAGCCAAATGGTTAAATTTGGAACAGACAGAAGGGACTGAGTTGAGGTGGTGTGTCTCGATAAGCTGCTGCAGATGGACTGGCACTGGGGGAAAAGCTACACCTCCTGCCCTTGACTTTGTGCTGAAGCTAGGCATTGCTCAGTTTCCCAAGTCTGAATTACCTTTTCTCCTTATTCAACACATCCCATTCCTAGAGTCTACTCAGGAACAAAGGATTGCGAGGCAGCGTATCCCACGCTACATTTAAAAATGCCCTCTAATACAAAAGGAAAGCTGTGTCTTCCAAGACTATTAAGTCCCGGAGAAAAGAAATGACATCCTCAATGCGTTTGCAGTGACTGGCTTGAGCTAAACAACGATTTAACTGAAGAGACATGCTCCCTGCAGGGAACCACAAAAATGTCTTAAAGCTGGGTCCAGGTTGTCCAAAAGTTTTCACAGGCCCCAGGCCAGGGCACTAGTAAAGGAGAAGGGGACCTCAGGGAGCAGGCAGTTTAGGCTCTGCCTGAAGTAAACAGTCACTGACCTCAGGCAAGTCACTTCTCTAGATTTTTCCTTTCACACATTAATGAATACTTTATAGGCCTACAATGATCTGTATCGCTCTTCTACTGAGAATTGTCAGGCCTAACTGGATAGGTTTTGGAGTATCTTATTTCTCATTTTTTATGTGCCACTGGGAAATTCAGAAGTGACCTCGACGTCTTTGGGTCTTTTCTCTGCTTCCTACCAACTGCCTTTTAACTGGGTTTGCTCAAAAGCTTCTGCAAGAGGGGCCTGAAGCACAAAGAGGAAGTGTGAAGTCTAGAGTCAGATCTGCTGCATTAGTGACTCTGCTGAAAGACTGGCCACAGAAAAGGAGTTAAGTAACTAAAACTGAATTTGGGGATTATCAGTGGCACCCAGCCAGCCAGTTTCTAGACCACTTTACACCCAACCTGGTTCACCAACTAAAAGAAAACCTAGCAGCAGAAAAAGATGGATCAGGTTTTTAACGGTCTAAATTGAAGGACCCACACTAACCACTTGGGAACCGAGTGGCCACGGAAGTCAGGGGGACAGCTACATTTTTCTGTGAAGTCTGAATATGTGCACACATACTTTGTAATTTAAATATCTTTATGCTGAAAAGGCAGGAAGGAGTAATTCTTTCTACCTTCCTCTTCTTTCTGGAGCCACACCTCCCAGCTGCGGCCACTAACACAGCTACACGTCTTCTCAAGAGCCTCAGAAGGGACCAGGGAACCACCGTGCCCTCGGTGGCTCCCAAACAACTCACGGCGGGGGATGGGGAGGGGACTCAAACCTGAGACTGGAGGAACCACAAGGAAAAGTTACTACGCGATGTTTTCCTTGTTTTTGTCTTTCACTCTAAAATCTAGCCACAAACATCCCTCCTTCATTCCAAGTGCCAGTCAGAAAAGCGACGTACTTTGGGGCTGAACGGTATTGTTCTCCTCGGAGGGACCCGTTTTATCCCGAAACCGACATTTTTCCCAAAGCCCGCCTCCGGGTGGCCTCGAGGTGGCCTCGAGCTGCCCACGGAGCCCGGTGCGCGGGATTCGCCTGGGACTCGTCCGGGGCTGGGGAAGGACGGGCTTCCCTCCGGCCGCTGTCCCCGGCCCGGCCCCCCGGCCCCTGCCCTCCCCGCGTCACCTGACCCGCCTGACCCCCGCGCGGCGCGGCCACCGACCTGATGACACTGATGTGGAACTGGTCCTCGCGAAGGCCCCGCCAGGCGCCGGGCAGGAACTCCTTGCACCACAGATAGGCCCTGCGCCGCGTCCGGGGCTCGGGCTGCTCGTCCGACTGCGGCGGCCGTGGCGGCGGCGGGGGCAGCGGCAGCGGCGGCGGCGGCGGCGGGGGCAGCGCGAGCGGCGGCTGCCGGCCGCCCGGCTGCTTGGGCTCCAGCTCGCTAGCGGCGTCGCGCTGCTGCTGCCCCACGCCCGGGGCCGGGGCCGCGCTGCCGCCGCCGCCGCCGCAGCTCAACAGCAGCCCGAGCGGCGAGGGCTCCGCCTCACCCCCGGTGCAGAACTTGGTCTTCATGCCGGACAAGCGGCCGAGGAGGCGCGGCCGGCCGCAGCGCGAGAGAGCGAGGCTCAGGGTCCGGCCGGGAACCCGCCTCAAGAGGCCGGGCGGGGGTGGGGAGGGGACAGGGTTCGCTCACCGGCTCGCTGACCGGCCCGGCCGGCGGCTGGGGCTGCGCGCGGCGGGCGGCGGTTGGGGAAGCGCGGAGCGGCGGCCGGCGACTACGGCGGGCGGCGGCGGCGGGCGGCTGATGCAGCTTCTATACACCGCCGCACGAGGAGCGCAGCGCGTCACAGCCCGCCCCCGCGCTCGCCTCTGATTGGTCGGCCCGGCGCATCACAACCGCCACCTCCCTCGCCACGCCGCCTTCCTATTGGCTACTGCGCCGCCCCTCCGCCCGGGCGCTGCGGCCCCCGGGGCGGGGGCGGGGCCGATGCGGAGTGGGTAGAGCACCGAGTCGGGCCCCGGGGGTCGCGGGGATCTAAACTTAGCGAAGCAATGCTGTAGACTCTCGGACAGTGCATGGCTGGATCCCGGCGGGCCTCGTGCGGGGGTGGGGGGGTGGGGCAAGGAGGATGGGGATCCTGAGCCCCGGATGACCCCGGAGGGGGCTTTGGATTGAAACTTTCCTTGGACTCCTCGGAAAGCCCAGGACTTCAGAGGCCGGGGGCCTGGCCAGGGCAGCCAAGAAACTCGTGTCTGGAGGCCGACTGCTCTTTCCGCGTGACCTGGGGTCAAGGCACCCCTTCTGGAGCCTGTGAGCGTGTTTTTACATTGCTCAGCCTTGACAGCACTGTGCTAGGCGCGTCGGCGCCCGGCTCACCCGGGCTGGAAGCATTGCTGCGTGCGGCTCAGACACGGCCCGAAATAACTGTTCAAGGCCACAAACCGGCCGGCTGCGCACCCGCTGCACCGCCAGCTGCCGGGATCCGCCCTCTGCACGCCTGCCGCCTCAGTTTCCCTGTCCGTGGTGCTGAGGACGGCGGCCTACAGGCTCAGGCCAGCTTCCAGGCAGCGGGGGCCGCCGCGGCCGCCAGCACCACTGACCAAAGGTTCTTGCCACGGAGCTCCCGGCTTTGTGGGCGCTGTCACCTGCCCTTCGCAGGCGACAGTCGCGTGACCGTGACTAATGTACCTTTGCCCTGGGCCAGCGGGGGTGGAGCAAGGGCCCCTGGTACCATGTGCCCAAACAATGCGCCATGCCCCACTCTCCTCTGGCCTGGCCGCCTCAGTCCTCCCTGGAAGGAAGTGGGGTACAGGTAACATGGAACACCACAGATGTATATGCCGTGGGGCATGAGCTGACACAGGATTCCCTGGCTGCCAGCGGCTTAGGAAGTCCTGCGATACTAGTGCACAGGAAATGGCTTCTTTTCGGGATTTCACCCTGCCTGCCGGAAGCAAAAACCTCTTCAAAAAGAGTGTGTACTTGTCTGAGCCCACTCCAAGAAAAATGATCTTTCTTACCAAAAGGACACAAATGAAAGGGGACTCTTGACAAGGCTGCTGTGCAGATAGGCCTGAAATTTGATCAGGAGAGAGGTAGGCTAGGCCAGGCCTCTGCGGAGCTGGGAGTCCCACTGGATGTTTGAGAAGTTGAGAAATCAAGGTCCAGGCAGGGAGACATTTAGATAAGGAACCAAGGACTTTGTCTAAAAACAGCAGCCCAGGTGAGGGGCCCTTTGTCCTCACTCCCGTCTGGAGATCTCAGAGGAATGTTGGACTCTGGCCAGAGGAAGGTCTGGGCCTTTACAATGTGCAGTAACTTTCTGCTGATTTGGGCTATGAAAACCCTGGGGCGCCTTCCTGGGAGAAAGACGCTGCCTCAATAAAGAAGTTAGAGAGGTTCCTGGGGCTCAAATCTTGAAAGTGCGATGAGAGATACGTAGCAGGGTCCTAGGGCTGATGGGACTCGGGTGGGTGAGAGACTGACCAGCCCAAGGTGATGCTGCTCCAAGCTTTGGGTTCCCCTCTAGGAACCTGCATGCTAATTTCAAGGAAATCAGTGTCCTGACCTCCCTCAGCATTCCAGGTACAAAATGACTGCAGAATTTGCGTAGAACATATCACATTTTCCTGGATACTTTATTTTTTATTTATTTATTGCAGTACTAGGGTTTGAACTCAGGACCTCATGCTTGCTGGGCAGGCGCTCTACCAACTGAGCCACTCCGCCAGCCCCTCCTGGAGACTTTAAGTCTTCTTTAGATTGCCCGTCACACCTAATGCACTATAAATGCTATGTAAACGATTGCTATACTGTATTGTAACGGAGGAAGTCCGTACGCGTTTGTACAGATGCAATTTTTTTAGAATTGTTTTTATAATTTTTTATTTTTTGTGCTGAGTGGGGGTACATTGCAGCATTTTCAAAAGTTCTTACAATATATCAAATATATTATACTTGAATTCACCCTCTCCGCCATTCTCCTTATCCCTCCCAATTCCTGGAATAGTTTCAACAGGTTATCATTTTTCCATTTACATACATGTGCACACAGTTTTGCACTATATTCACCCTCCCCACACTCTTTCCTTACATCCTCCCTGCCACCACTGGTACCAACGACCCCTCAGGCAGGACCTGTTCTACCCTCCTGTTCTCTGATTTTGTAAAAGAAAAAAATGACATTTTTCTTTGTTTAAGATAGCTACACAGGGGGTTTCCTTGTGACATTTCCATTTTTTGGAATTTTTTGTGTGTGTGTGGTGTTGGGATTTGAACTCAGGGCCTACACCTCGAGCTCTTTTTTTTGTGAAGGGTTTTTTCAAGATATTGTCTTTCAAACTATTTGCCTGAGCTGGTTTCAAACTCCAGTCCTCCTGATCTCTGCCTCCTGAGTAGCTAGGATTACAGACGTGAGCCACCAGCCTCCGGCATTTTTTGGAATATTTTTTATCCAGGATTGGTTGAATCCACGGATGTGGAGTCCATAGATACAAAAAGCAGATGGTGATTTGTTTTTATTTTAGAATGTAACCATCACCCTGGCCCTTGGGGAGCTAGAACTGTGGTGAATTTTAAGGATGTGACTTGAGGCACCTGTCATGTGTTTGGAAAAAGCTTGCCCACCTTCCCCAAAGCCTTCTCTCCTCCAGGCTTCTCCCCACCCCAAGTACACTCAAGAGTCTACCACACCTGGGCCCAACAGGGAGCCTACACAACCAAGGATATTGTCCAAAGTTCCTTCGTTATCAGCAATATCACAAACCTCAGCCTTGTCATCTCTATGTAACAGATCAGGAAACTGAAGCTCAGAGCACTTAGTAACTCACCCTGTAACACACAGCAAGTAAATGACAGAGCCTACTCCATGACCCAGTCAGCTATTACCAGGTGACTGGTACCAGACTCTACTGCTTGAACAGCAGGGGCTGGAGACTGGGCATGTGACTTCCAGGAGTGACTATGGTGGGATTCTGAAGTTAGGTGCAGTTCCTGTTATATACATGGTCCCTGCCTTGTAGAAGGCCTACATGACTCAAGTCCTTTATTCGTCCTCAGGTCCTCAGCCCTAGAGCCTGCAGAGCACAGTGTGGGAGAGACATGGCTCTAGAGTCTAACAGCCTGGGTTCAAATCCTGCCTCCACCACTTCCTTGGCATCTGCCTTCAGACAGGTTACTTACCTCCCCTGCTTATGAACTAGGTATAAGAGCCCAGGCGATAAAGCATACATCAAAAAATATCAGCTGTGTATGTGACACACACACTTTTTCTTACTAAAAGGGCACACAGTAACTGCAAGAGAAGAAAGAGTCACATCTGTTATCATTTCTACTTAATAGTTGAAGACTGAGTCCTGAGGGTAAACCCCTTGATTACTCTGCCCTGTATCCTGTCCCTACCAATGGCCTCTTTGTATGTAGAACAGGTGGTGCATAGGGATACAACGTAGTGTTCTCATTGGTCCATAGGGATTCACAGCAGGGCTCTCATTGGTCCATCGTGGCTTGATCAATCAGGACCCACTTAGAGCTGGGATGGTCAGTTCTATTCTAACTAGACAGAGGGGGTATGGGCCTTGGCATATGGTAATACTAAAATAATAGAATTATACTGTCTGTAGAAGGGGGAGGTGGAATGTAGACCCTCCCCAAGGGGACATTTGCAGACCTTTGAAAGGCTTTTACTCCACAGTTAAGAGTATCCCGAAAGAGAAACCCACAGCTGTAAGTATGCTCACAACTCTTGAAATAATAACCCTATTCCCAAGAGTTTCCCAAGAAAATGAGTTATTCTCAACAATGATAGGGCTGCAGGAGAGCACCACTATCATCTCTCCCAGTGGCCAGCATTCAAAGATGAATAATAAATACATTGGCAGTAACTCACAGCCTGTGTAAGATGATGTGTAAGGTGTCAAAATGCAGTGTACACTCTGACGACCAAAGCGTCAGTGCCTGTGCACAAGTGGACAAGGTTTGGAGAGAAATTTGCTCTGTCAGGGCACTGGTCCTGAGGAGAGATTACAAAACCTTTTCTTGTGGGACGAGAGAAATGTTCCAAAAGCTCTGTGATTGATGTTGACTCCGAGGGCAGACTCGAGGGTAATGGGCCTCAGGAGGGATGAAGGAAGTTTGGGAATCCCTGAAGTCTCACGTTCCTACAACTGCTTCCTGTGCACTGGCCTGAGGCCTAGACAGGGGAGCTCGTAGGGTCACTGGACTCTAGTGCCTCCAGAGCACAGAAGGGTCCACCCATGGGCCTTAGCTCTGCCACCATCTCTACCTGTAAGACGTTTTTGAGAAAAAGCACAGAGGCTAGAGCACATGCAAAGGCCCTGGGTTCCATTCTCAGAACTACAAAAAAAAAAAAAAAAAAGGCTTTATGAGTCTGCTTGCCTCCCAGCTGAAGCAGCTGGTAGGAGTAGACTTTGATCCCTTTATCTAGCTTCCCAATAACCAGTGAGGTGAATCTAATTAGCACCTCATCTGTCAGGCCACAAGTGAACTTCACCAAGGGATGAAAAACATTTGGCCAAGGTCCTGAAGACCCTGCCCACGAAGCTGTCCAGGGAGACTTGTCTTTCCGTCTTGTACACACAAAGCACCTTTGGCCCAGGAAGCACTAGATGCTTGGTACAGTGGGGGGTCCCTAGAGGGCTACAGAAGCAGAACCTGGACTGGGCTGGGTACCCACCCCCATCCCTGCTCTCTAGGTCTCTCAGGACCAGGCCTGGCTGCAGATTTGAGC